CCCCTTCCTTTGCCCCTTCCTTTGCCCCTTCCTTTGCCCCTTCCTTTGCCCCTTCCTTTGCCCCTTCCTTTGCCCCTTCCAACATTCACCTTATAGGGTATTGAAAAATATAATTTTGATCAGTGAGGCTTTGAACAATAAGAACAGAAGAAAGAACTCATTATTCAATGCCATGGAAATTTTATTGGAAACCATTGGCCCAGGGTTCTCAAATATGTTTTGTTTGATSATAAATGTGCTTTTCTATGAAGTGCACCTCAAACGGGAGAGTAACTTTGCTCTGTTGCCTGTAGGAAAAMTTCCCAAATGTCACTGAACTGCCTATGAATTTACAGCATGTAAATATTTACCTCTGATATTATTGTTAGTGATGGCTAGAAAACTGTAGGCAATTCAAACCTAATAGAGCAGCTGAGGTGATATGAGTGTAACAAAACTAAGATGTGTTCGGGTGTCCCAACAGTGAATTTCTAACTGTATGAGAGAAATATCTTGAGGGGAAAATCATTTATGGTTATGACTTGTTTACTTGATTGCAGTTATGCTGACTTGTCTGTACACTATTTAAAATTTGGCAGATTCTTCAGAGAACATGCGGGTTCTTCAGCTTCAAGTTCTGAATAAAGCAAGAGAAAGACAACTGGAAGAACTTAATGAAAAGCTAGAAGAGAGTGCACAGCAGATTAGGTATTTGAATCATCAGCTTTCAATGATCACAGGTAAAATGTTTTTATAAAGATCTTCCATTTCTAGAGTTAGTGATATCTAGCAACTTGTTTGTTATGACGTTTGTTTAGTTAGCATTGATCCTATTTATGAGCTTGATTTGTAAACAAAAGTGGACCTAACCCTTTGCCCTCAAAATTATATGAGAGGTAATAAGTTGAAATTAGACTTTTCTGCACACTTACTGTTATTGGCTATTTTTTTTCAGTTGGACAGTAACATTAAAGTATTTTAACATCTGTTAAATATATTGACATAGGGCGCTGGGACTGTTAGACATTTATAGAATTTATTGTCACAATAAGACCCTGATTCAGTAAAATATTAACATCCAGAAAACATGCTGATGTATACGTAGCGTAAATGCTTCTTTAGATTGGAGCCTGACTCAGCTACCTGACTCAACTTTTACTGCATTTGTAAATGCACGTTTCTCAGGACCATTGTTATATTCCAAGATTCATATGTGCTAGATATGAGGCATACAGAAAAATGAGAAGTTTGCCTAAATAGTGCATTAAAAGTATCAAAAGAAGGCAAACAGCAGAAGAAATATGCCTCTCTGATCAAAAGAAAAAAAAGTGTAGTTTAACTGAATAGTTTTCTAGACTGTATATACACACAAGTCCTTCCCAAGTGGCAAAGCTGTCATGGAGATGTCTTGGTCTGTTTTTATTTTATTTTATTTTTTTTGCTACAAGAATAGTCATGAGCCTGGAAAATAAAGACAGACATATAGAATGCAAAAAGAGCACAAAAGATTTTGGGGGACAGGGAGAGGGCAGAAAAAAAAAAAGCTGTTGGGTGTTCCACTGTGTGTTGGTTCTTGGTGCCAACAGAATGGTAGAGTTCTGATGCCGTTGCAGGAGGTGGAGATTGACTTTTTGGGATCTCTTCTCGGCTCGAATAGAGTAGGAATGTGGGCTGGTGGAGYTTGGTTCTGTATGATGGAGTGCTTGAATAATCGTGTTCCATGTAGTTGTTGAATGGATGTTTCTCTCACAATTACTTTGTCCCCTCTAAGATGAGAAGGATGGTTTGGCTGTTAGTCTTCATGAGGCTCAAAAACTCTATCAGAATGGAAAAGACCGGGAAGTGCATCTTGAAGGTCAAGTTAAAGCACTTGAAACCCAAATTCAGACTCTTACTGCCAATGAGGAGCAGGTACTATTATTGTTTTTAAGCTATTAATTGTAGGAGAYGTATATGATTATTTATGGTGCGTTTGTATTAAACATAAATATTACTTGTCTCACATAGAAGAGATTTTTTTTTGTTCTGTTGTCTCATTCATGAATTTCTTTTAATTATCAGAAATTTAATATATAATGGTTGAATAGGATGCTTTGGTGGAAAAATAGCTTGTTGAAATCTATGCAGCATATGAGGATTCTAGCAATTCTTTCCTGATAAACCTATGAACTGACATACTGAATATTGGAGCAAAAGTTAAATGAACATAATTTTAGCTTGCTCCAGTGAATTCGTAGCTTTGGTTTGGAAATATTCTGTAAGTATTCACTTAGTGCCTTGAACCATATCTGTGCCTTTGAAAAACAATCACATTACCTACTAATATAGACGATTGTTTCAAATGCTAGATATTAATGTCAAGAGCCTTCCTAAATAATAACATTTTTTATACATTATATTCTTGGACCAACTTTTTCTTTTAAATGAATCATTTGGACTGCAGCAGGCAGACTCTAATGCAAAGTTATTTTGACCTACTGCATTCCTTAGGCCTCATCAATAAATTTTCTCACTTAGCTTTTTTTCTTTTTTTTCTTTTTCTTTTTTTTTTTTTTTTTCTCTCTGTTCCTCTGCCCTCTCCTCTCCTTTTTGTCTCTTCCTGTCTGACATGCCCCTTGGGATGCTTTATAAGACTTTCACTGTTACTCCTCTGTTTCCATGACTCAAAACAGGATGTTTTTACTTTTTGGTAGATAAATACACAGGAATTCAGATTGTGCTGATTATCTTAACAGTACAGCACAAAACTGTAACCAGTTTTAAGGACCCTTTCTTCCTTTGCTCTTTCCATGTAATAAAAATAAAAAATCTGGAACAGGACACTGAAGAACAGACTATTTGCTGTGGAGCATATTTTATCGTCAGCTGTCAGATGTAAAATGAAAGGCCCTTTCATGTAGGKTTTCTGGAAGTAGAAAAACTTACTGTATTAAACTGCTCTCCTTGCCTTATATTTTTTTCTTGCCATCTCTGAAGGAGTGATAATCTCTTCTGGTTGCTACTTCTAACTTGCTTTTGTTGGCCAGGAGATGATCAAAGTACCTACGTAAACAGAGTGCAATTGCTTGTGGTTTTTTTTTTTTTTTTTTTTTTTTTTTCCCCTTTCTTCCTGTCCTCCTTGTTTCTCAAGCCAGTGACTGCTTATTTTAGGATTGTTTTTAGACAAAAATGCAAGAGAACTGTTCATAAATGCTGTTTTGGTGTGAGTGGATTTGGGAATTTTTTGTTTGTTTGTCTGTGGCAGAATGTACTGAAACAGTGAAGACCCACCAGGGAAATAAAATTCTCAGTTACGTAACTGAATGGATGGAGGTAGTGATAGACCAAATCCATGATTGTACTGATGCTATTAGTTAACATAATGAAGTTAATGCTCCTTTCTTTACAACACGATGCTTTATCGAAGAATTTGCATTTTTGAGATATCTTGGGCTTTTTGAAGGTGTATGGTAAGGTTATATTTAATACTGTTCCTATAGCTATTGAAGCAGTCCAAAGTGGCAGAGGTAGCCATGGAAAGCATGAAGAAGCAGCTGTTAGAACTTCAGCGGTCAGATGCCCTTCAGCGAGCCAGAGAGCAGCACGAGACTGTTATTTCAGCCCTCAAGCAAAAGTATGAAAAGCAAGTATTAGCATTAGAGCAGAAACTTGATACTACAAGCTCTGCACTCCGAGAACAGGTGAGAATGGTTATGGGCACATTCTGTTGCATGTGCTGCAGAGCTACACAACTGTCCTGAACAGTTCACTTCTTGAACTGTAATCAGTAATTTTCCCTTCTAATGGAAAGATATTCATAAGTTTCAATGTTATGGAGCTTATGTGATATGCTCTCATGCAAGTCTTGGACAGTGATATTGTGGAGCTGGCATATAGCAGACAGAGAAGGCTCTGTTTTGCCAAAATAAAGGTATTTAGGAATAAGTCTGCAGGCAAAAAGGACTTGAGAAATGCTCCAATAATTTGTTATAAGACAGATTGTTTAACAAACTGAGTGATCCCCAAGCTTTGATCTCAGAATGATAAAGCACCTGTCYCAGGGAATCCTTAATTTTAGAAGTGGCGGGTTAAAAAGGGGGAAGTGGATTGGGGGAAAGTTAATTTTAAGGTGGTATTTGATAGGGCCAATAGGATTTGTCCTATTATGCAACTTATTATTCTGCTTAACAATTAAGTTGGTTATGCTATTAAATACATTCAAAAGAGGTACTCTGCAAAGTCCTCAGGAGCTCTTCTTTTCRTATGAGAGAAACTAGAATTCACTTTCCTTAAAATTCCTTTCTTGTTCGGAGTATGAATAAAACTAATCTTCTTTCCCAGAAAGAGCTTTGCAGTCACCTAGGAGAGCATGTCAAGCAACTTGAAAAAACACTAGAAGAAAACAAATGTGAAAAAACTGAAATAATAAATCGGCTGACAAAGAGTCTAGAAGAAAGTCAAAAGCAATGTGCAAACCTCTTGCAAACAGGTCAGTGTTTTGCTCATACCTTATCTTTCCTGGCAGACATGACTTAAACTTTTTGAAGTATAGAACAATACATTGCTATTGAAATCGGATCTGTAAGTCTAAATGCATATTACACTGTTTGCTGCCCAGTACTTTAACCAGWTTTAACCAAAGTTCAGTTTAAATAAAAGGTGGTGTAGAAATACAAGAATCCTCAGATTAAAGCTTCTAGTTTAAGAAGTTTGCCTGTGTAAGCTGTAACTTTGATTTCAATAGATAAGTATTTCTGAGCAGGGCTGTACTGTTGCACACTGTTCTGTACTACAGTAAAAGAGTAACTTGGTTTATATATTGCATCCCATATTCAAATTTAAAGAAAAATAATTGTTTTTGTAGTTGGCAGTTAATTCCTCCTTCCTTCCCCAAGAGTTAGTATCAATAGAATTATTGGTACTCCATAAGGCTAGTCCATCAATTGGGGGAGWAGGGGAAGGTGACCTGTTTTCTAAGATAGTCCTGTTCCTCTTGATGTTCTGGCACAGGGACATCATTCTGTTTTTGCTTCTGGTGATATGCAAGGACAGTGAACTCTTGGGATAGCTTGCCACTCACGGCTTTTAGTTTTAAATCYTTAATTCTTCAGACTTTTAATAATAGAAATAAAGCCACAGTAATAGTTCTAAGTTTTAAATGAGGTGTTTCGGGAACTGTAGTAACCTTCACCATAATTTATTTGTATTTTCTAAGAGGGAGCTAAAGGAAACAGAATAATGCCTTCATGAGAATAAGTGTCGCTATTTAATTGAACATTATTGTCACATGTCATGATTTTTCTTGCCTATTTATATTTCTGTCTTTCCCTCTTCCCTGCTCTTTCYATCTTGCAATAGGCTCGATACAGGAGACAAACCAGTTACGGCTTCAATTGCAACAAGCTCAGTCAGCACACATGATAAGCAATAACATGAACAAGGCTTTGCAGGTTAATTCATTTTATTAAATATGTTACCACTCTTATTCTAGAGAGATTTGTTAGGGGTAAGAGGTTGGTAGGTTGAAACTTTTTGCCTGTTGTGGGAAACTYGTTTCTCTTCTGTAAAAGATTATCTGTTCCTTCTTCCCCCGTTATTGCATGTTGAATTTATTTTTTATTTAAAGAAGTATATTGTTTGCAGATGTATCACTTTTGCACTACTAATATCTTACATCAATTTATTCTGTTTATGGAACAAGAAAATGTAAATGTGCATTTGGTGTGTTTAGATATGACCAGGAATCTCGTAAATTAGGCTATGGGAAACAGAAATATGATGTTCTGAGATGCACCTTTTCCCAACAAGAGTGATGGAAAACAGTCCCCACTTAACTTGTAGGTTTCTCTTACATTTGCTGGAGAAATGATAGTGTGAAAAAGATATGTTTTGAAAAAATTAAACAAATGTTGGAATATTTCAATAAATAGAGTCATTGTTGGGAAATAACAGCACTATATTTCTGTTTTCTAAGAATTGTCACTAGGACTGGGTCATTTACTTGGAGTTTCTCTGTTTCTCTGTTATCAGAAATAACTTATTTCTGCTTCTGCCTTTAAGGAAGAATTAATGGAACTGAAGGAAGAAATTATGTTGTATGAATCTGCTGCCAAGCTTGGAGTATTTCTCAATGAGGCAGGTGGAGAGCTGAGTGAGTCTTATGTAGATCTGGGAATTAAACAATTCAACTGGAAAAAGTCAAGATTTTGCAGGTATTGAATGATTCTTAGATAAAGCAAAATCTAAAGCCCTCTATTATACATAGTATCTAATATTTCAGTAAAGGATAATCATATAGGATCAATATGTAATTACTTCAAAATATTTGAAATGATTTAYATTGTCAGGGCATCTGAGAGATATGAAACCAAAGTAATACCATAACTTGGATGCCTAATAGCTGGTTAACAAATATTCAGACTTTATAAGGCCAATATTGCCTTATTTTGGAGGGAAGGAATATTAGAAAAGAAAGTAGATGCATCTTTTTATTATAAGTTGCTCTAAAAATCCAAAACGCTGATAAAGTTTTTCTATTAATTCCTAGTAGAGTTAAGGTAGAAAGCATTGCCCAAGTGCAACCAAGTAATGAGGAAGCTGTCTTAATGCAATCAGCATTACAGGGATGGGAAGCTTGCTCATGTTCCAGAAACTTTGAGCTCTGCCACGCTGTAGCTTATTCCAAATGGGTAAAATCTGGAACATATATTAGAGAGTATAGTAACGTGCTCGAGCACTTAATGGGTCTGTGGACAGCAACTTAATGTCTCAGTATAAGACAACTGTGTCTTCACCCATAGCAATGCATAGACTTCATGTTAATAATATGGATATTTGCATAGGTTCCATTTTGTTGAAATGATTTTGCTTAGCTACTTAATTTTAAAGCTGTGTTTTAATACAACTAATCAAGAGTTGTTTCAAAACACCTCACAAAATAGAAGAGCAAATAACTTCACAGAAGTAGAAAAGTGTTTTTCTTCATTCTATACATGAATTACAACATGACCAATTGAAGCATGCAACTTTTACGTTCATTTCTCTTATGCTTGAAGCACTGTCTTTACGAACAGAATTAGTTGTTCTTTTGCTACACCTACCTTTCAGGTGCCTGTGTCTATGTATGCGTAGGATATTTTTACTTGTTTTTGCATTTTATAAAATGCAATTGGTTGTGTCTTTCCTACTAGTGCAATAAAAAATAGAGACCCGGACAAAGAACTTTCTAAAGATGAAGTTATCGTAGAATTAAAAGCTGAACTGGAACGCTCATTGAGCAGCAATAAAACGAAGAGAAACCAGATTACTCAATTGCAAAATGATCTTCAAGATTGCCAGAAAGCATTAGAAGAATGCAAGCAGCTGCTGAAAGCAGAAAAAGCATCAAAAGCCTTAGAGGTATGTGGGATTTTTTTTTTCTCTCCCCTGTCTGTTATGTTAAAATAAAGAAAGTATTTTTGAAAGTGAAATAGATGTAAGTGAACCAATGTCTAAATTTCCTACAAAAACAAACTGAATTAGTGAACTTAAAGCTGGGTATTTATTGCAGTTAAGTAAATATGTGTTTGATATTAAGATCAATTTTGCTGTTTTGGTGATACTTTTGTTCTGCCTTTTTTTCCGTTTGGAAAGGAAGGAGTGGGGTCACAACTCTCTTCCACTAATGAGTTATCCTCACTTAGTCTCAGAAAGACCTCATAATTTCTGGGAGAAAGCTGATAGTATCATGTACAACTTGTACAAAGTACACTCCCAACTGGATGGTAGCTGCCAATGAGCCTGCAAGCAGGGTTTTACATGTGCTCATAGGAACTTCAAAATCCTATGAATTTTAAGACTTCATCTGGAGTAACAGTGATACTGTTTGTACTGCGATCACTTCCTTCATCCTTTTGTAAAATACTTATTCAGCAATTGTAACTTTTTTTAAAGCATCRATTTCTAAAGTAAGTTTATCTTGAAAGATTTGATTTTAATTTTTTTTGTAGCCTGTGAAAAATCCGAATGATACTTCAGTGGCTAGTTCACCTGTTTCTGATAATCTTAAGGAAGAAGTTCTGAGACTCAGAAAGGCTAATGAAACTTTGATGCAAGAAGTTCAGGTGAGATTGAAAAGCTGTATATACCTATAAATAAAARTAACTGTAAATGTCGGCAATATCTTACTGATTTAAATTTCCTTAAAATCCTTCTATTAATTCACTTTTGTCCAGAACCATATTGTGGCTATTGAAGAACTGAAATCAAATGAGGAAAAACTGAAAAATTCGAATCAAGATCTCTGTTCTCAGATGAGACAAATGGTTCAAGATTTTGATGAGGATAAACAAGAAGCAATTGACAGGTAAGCCTGTGAACACTTCTGTTTGCTAACTTGTATCTTGCTTGTTTGTGTGTGTGTGTATTTTTGTACCAGCTGTCTATAAGGAATGGCAGTATTAAAACTATAGGTTTACTCTAAACAGAAAACAATAAACAATAAAAAAAAGAAAACCCCATTAGTATTTTCCTCTCTTTGCGAATCACAGGTGTGAAAGAATGTATCAGCAACATCATGAGGATACAAAAGCCCAGATGGAGAAAGACCTTACAGAGAAACATGCTGAAGAAAAACAGCAGCTTATTCAAGCTTATGAAGAGACAATATCACAGTTTAAGTAAGGCTTGCTTTTTGTCTCACTGAATGTTTTTAGTACTTTGTCTGCATCGTTCAATGGTAGTTACTCCTTTTAGGAAAAAAAAAAAACAACAAAACACCTTGCTGTTCTCTGAATGTAAAGACTAAATAACTTATAATAAATAATATGTGCTCTGAAGGGCTGATATAGAAGAGCTAAACAGGGAGGTGACTGCAGTGAAGGAATGTTATATATCAGTCTGTGGTGAGAAGGACACCTTGGAAGCTACTTTAAAGCAGAAATTTGAGGAAGAGCAGCAGCTGAAAGAAGACAAGGTAATGATGAAAATACCTATAAATTGTATCATTTCAGACACTTTTWAAGATATATCGAGAAGTGTATTTTTTGCTTTTAAGAAGATTTTTGGAAGCTATGCGKTTATATCAGAAACTTAACACAAGTGAGCTATTTGTTGTTAATTTAACTTGGTTAGGTGGTTTATGGATTAAAATATAAAAGTAACCCCTCCCAATAGCTACTTGTTTTCATAGAAACTGCACGTTTCTGAAATGTATTTATGACCCTTTATAGGGCTGAGTCAGCAATTTGAATTCTTGTATTTGTGAGACTTTTTCAACAAAACACTTGGTGATGGTAGAAGTTGTCATCCCATTATCTTTGGATTACAGTTTTCAATATTATTCAATAATAAATTMTTTGGAAAAGCAAAACAAGTTTTTAAATCAAAGATATCACTGTGAAATGACTTAAGTAGCTCAGCTGCCTTGCTAAGAGAAGTTTGGTAGAGATAAGCAGCTTAAAATATGCTGTAAGTAAAGATCAGTCCAAACTGACTAAATACTATTGCAGAGATGAGCCCGAACTTAGGTTTCTTGTACACTCTTTGTTTGTTTGTTTTTTTCCCCCTCCCCTCTGCATCCTCCTAGCTTAAAAAGCAACTACTAGAAGAGAGGGAAGATGCWCTTCACCACCAGAGGATTGAGCTTGAAGAGAAGTACAATACTTCTATCATAGCAGCAAAGAACCAATGGCTGAAAGAAAAAGAATTTTATATCAAACAGCAGGTTGAAAAGGAAGTTGCATTAGCTAAAATCCACTGGGAGAAGGAAGAGAAGGAGGTGTGGAGCTTACATTGGGGGATTTGGAATTACACTTTTTTTATGATGAAACACTTGTATATTGATACACTTGTAAATTGTTACTTTGTTATTTAAGATAGATAAGGATCTGTATTTGTAGGCATTTCTGAAGTCAAGTAGGTATTACACGCACTGTAGAGATGTCTTACTTCAGCAGGTTATTAACTCTGGTTATGTTTTCAACCTAGTGTCTGAATTTATATACTTTGTATTTTTAATTTGGGAGACATACAGAACTCCTTTGTGTATCTCCCTTGTACTTTACGAAGGGTATAGCCAGAAGGGTAATTGTGGGGAGGAAGGAAGGACCCAGGCTTAAAAGGACCTAGTAAGAAAGGTCTCCAAGTTAAATATTATTTTTCTTCAGAAATGTAGATACTTGATTTGGAATGAAGAAATGCACTGACTTCTGCAAATGGTTTTGCTCCCGTGTCAGGGAGGATTGCTGGTATAAAATCAATTTCCCCAGCATGGATTTTGTTGTTGCTGTTAAATGAAGATGAAGATTGATTTACTTAGACATTGGGGAGACTTGTTTAAAAAAAAAAAAAAATTTTCTTCCATAGAAAAAAGAACAAGTCATTGCAAAAATAGGAAGAGAACAGCAAAGTAGACTGGAAGAAACAAGAAGAATTCTAGTTGAATATAATGACTGCAGCACCCAAACTAATCAAATAACAGTTGTGGATGAAACCTCATCTAAAGACTTAGCAAGGATTGTTGAGGACCAGAAGCKGCAACTCCAGAAGGCACTGAAAGAAAAGACGGCCTCTGAAGAGGCCTTAAAAGAACTTGAAATAGAACTGGAAAATAAATACCGTAAAAATCTTGCCAGCCAGGTAACAAATAATTGTTCTGTCTGCCTGGAGCCTGTAAAACTGACATGTGCAAATGTGCAGAATAGACTTAGATATTTTTTAAAGCACTGTCAACTTAAATACTCCTGAGTAAATTCTACTCATTATTTACTGAATAAGCAGAAGCATAAAAGCTTGTGGTGTTTGTAGCTATTCTTTTTTTCACACTTTGCACACTTGGTGAAGTTCTACAGGAATTCTGAACAGACCTGAGCGAAACTCATGTAGTTAATACCTTTTTCTGTGAAAGAATGGCGTAATATTGTTGGTATTTTATTAGTTGAGAATGAGAAATGCAAGAGCTGCAGGAAGTCTGATATTTTACTTTCTATATACATAATCAATCCACGCTAACTCTTCTTTTTCACTGCTTTGTGTAAGTAGTAGTGAAATTGTTTTCAATTGTGGTGATTAAAGTAGATTCTTTTCCCTGTTTATAGGTAGATGCAGCTTTAACTCAAGCTCGTGCTAGGTGGCTCCAAGAATTAACAGACCTCAAAGAGTATAAAATAAATCTAAAGGCAGAACAGGAAAAATGGGAAAGGGACCATGCAGAGACTGCAGCAAAGCAGGTAGCACAGAATACTTGCATTTCATATGTACTGCTAAACTGTTAAGTATTCTAAGTCTTGCATACAACCTGAGAACATTTATAGATCTAACTGGGGAGTCATTAACGAGGCGTATTTTTATTGTCCTTTGGCACTGAGGTTTTGTTGCATGCAAGATTATGTTTTTTATGAAATAATTTGGAAATAATTTCTAAAATTTTTGCTAATGATCCAATACTGAGAGGGAGAAAACAGAGTGAATCAGTGGGTAATGCAGAACCAAGCAAGTTTATAGTTAAGTAGGTACAAAAGATAAGAGTTAAAAYTAATATGAATTATTGAGTGGAGAGAGTGAGTTTCCATTGAAACTAATGGATTGTTCTGTCCAGGTTGTCAACATCTAAGGAAGGATATGGATATTCTGTGACACCTGAGTGTTGTATTATTCCAAGCAAGTATCCCTTTTTTAAAGGGGGCATAAGTAGTCTTTTGATCAGATTGCTTAATGCTAGTCATGGAATAACAGAATAACTTAGGTTGGAAGGGACATCTGGTGATTGTACCTGCCCCTTCAAATTGGGGCTAAATTGATCATTCAATCAAGCTGATACTTATGCCAGATAAACACTCRTTCTTTGCCAAAAATATTGGCTTTGCACATCGATGAAATGGAAGAGGAGTGATCCTTGAGGATCTCCATAAAAAGCTGCAGTCCTTGCTGGCTGAAAGGATTTTGTGGCCTTGAATGAATGACCCCTTTAAAGTCTTTCTATATTAAGAAGTTAGGTTGCAGGGAGTGAGGGTATGTGTGTGGGAAAGGCTGTGTGTTAATGAACTGTCTTTTATATTTGCCAGTTAGCTCTAGTTCTCTCAGCTGCTGAAGAGAAATGGAAGAAAGAATTTGAGAATGCAGAAAAATCTGGACCAAGGGTGAAAGAACTTGAAGAAAAGGTCCTTTCTCTCAGAAAGGAATTGGAGTTAAAGAAAGAAGAAATCCCTGCCACTATCAAAGCAGAAGTAGCAAAAGCTCGTGCTCAGTGGAACAAAGAAAAGCAAGAAGAAATCCTTCAGATTCAAGAGCAGAATGAAAGAGACTACCGTTCATTTTTAGATGATCATAGAAACAAAATTAAAGAGGTGCTTGCAACAGCGAAGGAAGATCTTGTAAAGCAGAAAAATGACCTATCTATTCAGAAAGAGGCAGAAATAAAGATGTTACTAGACCAAAAGCAGCGAGAATGGGAGGCTCAGCTGACAAAGAGACTCCAGAATGAAATTAATCAGTATGAGGAGAGGACATTGTTTGAGCTGGAGGGTTTGTTAAGAGAAATCCACGAAGAACTAGTCAACTGCACAAATAATGAGCCGTCTTGGAAGGATAAGTGTTTCACCACTCCTTCTGAATCAAAACATCAATATAAAGAGAAACTAAAGGCTTGCTTACAGAAGGCTTACAGAAGCACAGTTTACGTAGTTCTAGCAAAGACTGAGCAAGAATGGAAAGAGGTAATGTTTCTGTAAACTACAACTACCAACCAGAAGAGATTTAGGAAATGATAGTTTGACCCTAAAGTGTTTTTTGATAATTAAAAATACTCATGATCCTGAGAATTAGTCCTACATTTGAGTTCATTAATAGCAGTCTGTTAGARCCATAAAGAGAAGCTAAATCTGCCTCTGACAGGTGAAAAGGGAGATGGTAGGTGTAGCTTTCATTTTCTCAATGCTTAAATTAGAGAAAATCTGGTTAGAAATCACATTAATGACTTGTAGTATTAGAAATAATGTGATCCATCGTCTTCAGTTTGGGAGCCTGTTAAGAGTCTCTTGGGACCTTTTAGATAGGTGAGTCAATAACTAAGGCTGTGATTAGTGGTCAGACCAATCTATGCAGTAAGTGGGGGGTGCAMCCATGAGGGTGATGATGATCGCTTAGTAGCGGTCCAGCACCCCTGTTCCAGCAGTTAGTGCCTCTGTAGTGATGGGAGTGCCAGCCTCTTAGCTGGTTGCCTTAATTGCCATCAAGGTAAGTCAAGTTAAAAGTAAAAACAAATCTAAGGTAAAAGCAAATCTAACCAAAAAGCAGAAAAATGTACTCTAAAATGGATTATGTACAGAACTTTGATGATGGACAGAAAATGATGTTTATTAAGCTTTTGAGTTACGTCCAAATRTTCCCTCACCACATATATCAGATGACAAACTGAAATATTCTGTGTTGTGTGGTAAGGATCTAGATCTATACATGTTTGCATATTGAGTTGCTCATGCCTCTTTGTACTTAACAAGTATTAAGCACTTACCCTTTTAAAACATGTTTGCTGCAGTTTACYATTAGGTTCCTGACAGTCCTTTAAGGAAAGAACTCCCAAAACACAGTTTTGTACCTCRCTCTAAAGAGCATTTATTAAAAACAGCATGTCATTGATATCCATGTGACTTTTTTATTTACTTATTTCTTTATTTAAAAAAAAAATTTTAAGAGGCAAAGTAAAACACAATATTTTCCTAATTGCAACAGAACACAAAATAAATGATAAATAAACATAGCTGGAGCTCTCTGGCTCACAGCCTAGAGATAAAATGGTGAAATAACATTTCATTCAGATTGTGATTTCCATCTATTTCTTTGGAGTCAGTAAAATTACACAAAATCATAAAATCATTGTGAAGAACAGGGCCTAATGATTAGTCTACCCACAAAGCTAATTATCTTGTATCAACCTTTCTGTCTTCATTGGACGTTAATTTTCTGTTCTGTGGTGTTCTTAAGAGTCTTGATTTGAACTGATTCCAATGTTAAGTGGAGATATTTTTGCTGGAATGTGTTTTTACCAAAGTAATTGGTGATTAAAATGAACATGCCAAACAGTAATTCATGGTAGATGGTTTTCATATCTGTGACCTCTGTTGGGCCATAGAATAGGAAGACTTTCCATAGCCTTGTGGGGAGTAATTTAGTGGACTGTAATGTTCCACTGAGGTGATTGCACAGTGACACCTTTTTTTATTTCCGCCGCTTCTGATATAAGTAAAAGASAAAACACTACAAACTTCTGCCAAAATGCAAAAATGCCGATTTTCTGTAGCAGAACCAAAAAAATTACCAAAAAAGACAGATTGAGGGAAGAATTATACTTTTTTTTTTGTTGTTGTTAATGTGCATGCCTAAATAAGGAAAATGATTCTATTCCTCTTCTAGAGGAGTTTAGGACTAAGCAGAATTTTATCCAAAAAGCTTCTTTTGTGTTTCTGTTGTTTTGACAGATTCCTCTTTTGCAATGCTTGTGCTTGCAGTAAGTTTTTGATTATGGGGAGCATCCCATCGGAAATGCCATTGCTACCCAGCATTCAGCAGCTGTGAATTTATCCAAGAATAGGACAGAAAAAGAAATCATCTTATTCTTCTAGAAAAGGCAGAGGGCGGGTAGTGGTGGAAATAATTTCTCATGATGCTATTATACCATTTCCTAGTTGTAGGAAGTATCTGTTCAGAAATTAGTCCTCTAAAAGTTTCTGGTATCATATTGCACAATTAAAAGAGAATCAAATTTTTGCYTAAGTTTGATGTGTCTCTTGCAACAGATATGTATGCGTCTTGGTAAACTCTTGTTAATGTACAACTTCAAATGCAGTTCAAAATTCAGACACGTTGAGGTGTCTRTATGATAGAGTTCTCTGAATATCCTTAGTAACATCTTCTGTTATAGCATAATACAAAAAAAGTAACATTATTTTTCTTGATGGCTTCCTGTCTCTCTACTAGCCATCTTTATGCAGAAATTCGCCAAAGGAGTCAAAAATCTTTCTGCTAGGTATGCCCTTGAATAGTTGAAGTTTACTTTTTATTTATTTATATTTCGGACACTGATTTATTGGTGACCTTAAGGGCTATTGAYACTTTAAAGTTTCAAAAGTAAAACTCTCAGGATAAATGCTATTGCAGTGAATTCTACTAGCTACTGCTTTGGCATGTTGAATAGAGCTTTTCCTCAATTGAATCTGTCATCTACAGTTCTATGTCAGACTTTAAAATTAAGATACATTTATTAAAACTATTTTGGCCACAAAGGATCATTTATTTTTACTCTTTACACTTAATTTACTTATTTAAGTTAATGTTGAACACTCTTTTGCTCTGTATTGAGTTTTCAGAAAGTCTTTTCAATTGCAGAAATATGAGGAACTGCTGACCAAGGTAAATGAAAAAACGTACTGCTGTGTAAAAAGCGATGAAGGAGAAACTGGAGAAATGGCAAGACCTCCTGTATACAGWGTTGGACACCAAGCAGAAAAACAAAGAATGCCAAGACAGCCACCTTTGCAAGAAACTGAAACGGATAAAGGTACTCATTTTGTTTTAATTTAATTGATGATAAAATTAAGCAGTTAAGCTTGTTAATAGTGGTTTTTAATAGCTGATAATTGAATCCAATGCATGCTCACTTAACGAGTGAATATATGGAAGACAGAGGAATATGCAGCTTTTCTGACATTATATTGTCTACATAGCTTGTACTAAATTAGAAGCGTCCAAACTGCATGACAAATAGTGCTGGTCTACTGATCATTGATCCAGTATTAGCCCTTAAGCTTTAATTTAATGGAGATTAGTAGCKTTGTGCTTTTTTAAAGCTCTTCTTGAGGAATTAATGGTATCTGCTGCAGGTTTACTACTGCTAGGTGATTGTGGATAGAGGAATGCTAATGCCTTCAGTATTTGGCAGCTAGTAAGCAAGTCTAGGTTGAATGTGCTGTGCAGGATATTTTCCAAACTGTATCTCAAAAATGGATAATATTAACAAGCGTTTTGAAGATCAGGTATTACTTGTACTTGTGAGTAGACAAGATGAATTCATGTATTCATTTCCTTCATGTAAAACATTGTTGTGTTATACTTCACTGGGCATAGTAGGCATTCAGATTCTTTTAATCTAGAAATTAATTCTAGGAAACCTGAATTACAGGCTGTGTGTGCATGTATTTTTGTTTGTTTCTTTTTATGTTTTTTCCCTCCTCTGCAGCATTGTAGCTCTTTCCAAACCATCGTGCATACTACGGAGGTGGTGTAGTTGGAGGAAAAACTTCATGGGAGGCACAGAAATGGCTCTTGAGCTTTCTGTTTAGTTTGAGTTCTTATGCAACCAAAAAAAGCATAAAGCAACAAAACCCAAGAGAGTCTTTGGCCTTATGCCTACAATGTGGCTTGAATTCCTTCAACGCCAAAACAACAAACCATCTATTAAACACAAAACAATAGAAGCAATGCGGCTCTTCTGTCTCTAGAGCTCCCTGTACTGGCTATAGAGAGTAGCCTTTGCTCTCCTGGAAGTGGCCCAGTCTTTGTAAAGCTCTTAGCTTAGCTGGACTCGGCCACATGTGAGCCGTCTCAGCAGGGAGCCTCTCTCCTGCAGATGATTCCTAAAGCCCCTGTTTGGTTTATTATTATTATTTATTATTTAAAAAAATGCAAATGTGATACCACAGTCTATGCTGAGACCTTTCTTCAGACTCAAAGCATCACAAATATGAGCATATTGAGGCTGAAAGTTCTCAAAGACTTGATAGATACTGCTGTACATTTTGTAACTGAAGTCTGGCCTCTTGTGATTCTTTCATTTGGACTAATWGACTCTGCACTTTCCTAGTGAAAGAAAGAATATCTAAGTGGACCACTGAAAATGGTAGTGTTGGGTTTGATTCTTTTTGGGTGAGGTATAACTTATAATAACTTATATATAATATATATATGTTATATATTATAATAACTTATAATAATTGCTGTTGCAGATGAGAAATGTAAGAAAAGGAACCTTTGGTCTCATGAAGATTTTTGCTCTGAATGCTGCTGCCAAGAGCTTGAAAAAAAGGAGACTCTGTGCCAAGATTTGAAAAGAAAGTTGGAGAAAGCCTGCAAACATCTTCAATTTGCTGTAAGGGAGCACAAAGCCAAGGCAGAGCAAATCCAAGGTTAGGATTGTTACTCACCTAGAGAAAACTTGAAGAGCTCTGCCTTATTGGCTGCATGGAATCTCTTTAATTTCTTATGGCATATAGCTTTCAGTGGATGCAAATACGATGTATGGGAGGTTTTTTGTTTTTTAAAGGCATATAGAAAGAATAATTAACTCTTGGCTATAAGCATTACGTATCACATGTGTGTATTRAGAACAAAATGCAAGAAAAATGAACACACAGCAGATGTTCTTTGTGTACATGTGGATCCCATTGCCAGTGAGGGTTATACACATCTCTCTCTAYATATATGAGTCTGGGAGGTCTTTAGCTGTCTTTTTTGAGACTGTGCTGGTACTGTGCTCCTATTCATCCCACCATAGTAAGGAGTATAAAGAGCAGTGTGGCCCCAAATGCTACTTGGTTACTTTTGGTGCTAGTGTTAATAAGCCATTGTCTGCAGTTTTCTTCTATCTTCCTGCAGTCAGTAATAGATTTAAGCCATATTTGTTCTCTCTCTCTCTCTCTCTCTCTCTTTCCGTCTCTATTTTTTTTTTATATATTAAACTAGGATTTCAAGTAGTTCTTACATCGTTTATTTGGCTTTTAAATCAAGACAATTCTTTTTGTGTTCCTTTGCAACAGATAAGTATAGGGTAAATGACAGAGAAAGGATGGTAGTTCTTGCATCTTTCCTATATGCCACCCATRGTGGATATTAAACACCTTGATTGTTCACTGTAAGTTTGAATGCAAAGCAGGGATCCCTCTGGAGGTGTAGAAATCAGTTTTTTTCTGAAGCTATTTCTGATAGAAAAAAGATAGCAAAAAGTAATCGATTTGAGGTTCCTCTTCTATAAGGTTCTGCTTCTGATTAAGGAGTGATACCTTCTAATATCTAATTTCTAGCAAAGAACCCACAGACCAGGAAGGTTTTAGATCATAGAGTTATRAGTGTTTGTCCTCACATCAGTGTGGCTCTGGGATGGTGGTGTTTTGCTGTGATAGTGCCAGAAGTGTTAGCTAAAGACTATCAATATGAAATTTGTATACTGACATATGCTGGCTAATGGTAAAAGCTGCCTGAGACTTCGTCATCAGCTTAGTTAAATGCAGCATTATCTGACTTGGCATTGCTACTTGTTTTTTATCCTATTCTTGCATCTTGTGCATGTCWTTTTTTCAGAATAATAGATTCTACCTTTATTGCTTTTTGTAACTCGGTGATCTCTGCYCACAGTAGGAACTAAGCTAGCAAGGATAACTCAGTTTTGTACTAACTGCCACTGCAGTACCTGTAACTGCCTCTTAGCTCTCCCTTTATGGGTCTTGTGTTTTGGTTTGTTGCTTAGTGTTGCTCACTGTAAACATGGGGCAGATGGCTGGCTCAGAGAACAGGTGCCAATTGCTGGGTTATACCAAGGGACTGAACTCCTACGTGTCAAAGACTGTGGTTGTGSGGTGTGGAGTTTTTCTTTTTTAAATATGAAAATGCATGGTTGCCCACTGTAATAAATTTTATGCTCTGTGAGGGTCATTAAAAGCTGTATGCTGTAAGGAAACATTCCTGCCAGCTTGCAGACTTGTATAAGCAAGGCCAGGTGGATAAATTAGATCTGCAAAATATTATTTCTCTGAACTTTTTTGTCCAAAACTATGAAGCTTCTAAACTTCCTTGAGCGCTAGTGAAAAACTGAAGAATAATAAGAGGTCTGCTAAYGAAAAGAGAGACCATCACCGAGAAAATCATGGATATAATTGTCAAATGTTAGAAATGAAATGTAAACCACAASTGAGAATCATGGAAGTCCATGRCTTTTTCCAAATTTGGGTTCTCTTGAATTGCTTCACTCTGTATTCCAGGATGGTTTCTTGCTTTTTCTTCCATATATCATCCTAGAAAAGGAAGCAAAACTTCTCTGCCTTTCCTGCGGTGCTGTCCTGCATTTTTCTATATTCTATCCATGAAAACTCTGATTCTTCTAGCAAAGACTCTGCTTATTRAAGGCACATCCCTCCTTGATTGTAGCGACACTTATGTTCACATAAGAATTTCTGTGGCTTGTATACGTTAGTGGTATCTCTAGCAAGCATAGGTGTCCAAAGAGAGCTTGGAACTGAAACCAGTTTATACTACTTTTCTTTCATAAATTAAGGAACCTGCTAATCAATTGAAGATTCATGGCTGTATCCAAGTTTGTCTATCAATTCTTACCTATGTCCTTTTCAAAAATAACATGGGTCTTGAACCTACACTTTAGGAAATGACACAGGGCTCAGATAGTGGCAGTACTGTACGCTAGCTGTGCTTCATGGGCAACAATCCTCAGTATGGGCCCAAGGCCTGAAGCTTTGGGGCCTTTTGTCAGCTCAGTTGATGCTCTGTGCTTGACTCATAGTATTTAAATGATTTTAGAAACATAAAGTACAGTTTGCCATGAAAGTCTGTCCTTTTTCTACAATATCCTAKCTTGTAATCATTATGAAATGCTTTTTCTTTTTCCACTTTCATCTTTTTCCACCCCCAGGAACCTACAGATGAAAACTTACAAACTAATCATTCTCTTCCAACATTTGTCAAAACAACCCTCATTATTCCTTCCTCCTCTGCCCTTTCTGTATGTCCACCTGATACATCTGAAGTTTAACCTCAAATTCAGGCTTTGGTCATCTTGTAATTGCTCGTTATAGCTGTGAGCTGTTGATGCTTTGTAACACTGAACTCCTACACCATAAGTTACTGTATAGGTATAGGTATTGTATATAACTTATGTTGACATCTCTTTGAATTGAGAGAAATACAATTAATTATGATCCATAACTTGTGCTTTTTAATAGAAAATCAGAAGACTTTAGAGGCTCTAATTGCAGAAAACACTGAGATGAAGGCTAAACTAAAAGACCTGAGAACACCACCAAGGTAAGAATAAATTAAGCAATATTTTCATAAGATAAATTGCCTTCCCTGTGCCATATACTGGTGTGTTTTTCAGGTCACTGTCAGAGGGAGTCATCTCAAAACCCTGTACATCCTGTGACAGTGTAAAAGGACTGGAGGAGATGCGTGTTCAGTACATTAAAGCTGTGAGCAAGATTAAGAGTAAGTATTAAAGACTAGGAGAGCAAAATAAGTTGTTAATTCTTCCTCCTTTAACCAAATTGMATGGGAAACTGACAGAAAAGTTGAGAATTACATTTGCTTTACTAGAGTAAATGTTTTAAATGGTCTCTCTTATGCACTGATCTTATTTCTCCAAAATCTGCCTACCCCTTTAGTTTGTCCTGAGGGAAAACCTACTTCTGTACTACTGATTTCTCCTCTGGTGTTWTTGGCCTTGTGGGTTTTAGTCAGCAGCCTTTTGGCAGAGCAGAAGGGACTAAAGTCCAATGCTAGGTCTTATTTGACAGCAGCAGGTCCCCAAGTGCCAGCTGTGCTGCCCTCAAAGAATTCCTGGACCTGCATTTACCAACATTCCTCCGAAATCCTGTGCTTAGCATTGCTATTGGCTAAATGCTGCTGAGCAGCAAGTGACAGCCAATATGAAACATTAAACGAGAACTTAACTGTCTGGCTCRGGTCTTGCACAGCCTTTAGCCAATAGGGAACCTGAGGTACAGGGATTTGGGAGGAATGTTGGCTGGTAAATCTGGACCCTTGCTGCCTTGCTCCAAATCTGCTAGACGGTCCCAGTTCCTTTTTCCATCTAAGGAATCAGCACTGATGGAATGTTTTTGCATAGGTGATATGCTTTGTTATATCCGTGAAAGTAAGGAGAGAGCAGCTGAAATGATTAAAGCAGAGGTTTTAAGAGAACGTCAAGAGACTGCTCGGAAAATGCGCAAATACTATCTGACCTGCCTTCAGCAGCTTCTTACTGATAATGGGAAGCAGGAAGGGTAAGTGCAATTATATTGCTCTGGAAATAAGCATGGCTTTTGAAAGAAGTGCAGTAAACTTSTAGTTTAGTGTTGAGTTTGTTCTTTAGTGGTTCAGCCCATCTTGGAGTGAACCTTATCTAACCTGAAGTCTTGCCGGGCTGCTTTAGGAGTATCTCAGTAGGCTGCTGTGGGATTTCCAGGAAGTTACATGACTGAGATCTGTTGAATAGTCCGATATGTGTTATACCATCTTTCCAGGGTTCTCTGACTCACCCCAGTATTTCTTTCAAGTAAAATGCAGGATAAAACCAAAAAAGTACGGTGGTTTTGCAGCTCTTGTACATTTTAATTTTTGRAAGGAAGACAGTTTGGAAGGTGATCTTTTAAGGCTGAGATAGTAAAATTTATTTGTTCTTTGCTGTAGCGAGTCATCAAGGAGATATTAAATACCTTAAACAAATTCTGCCTTTGTTTTTTGTTTCCCCCGGTCTTGCTAAAAGACTTGCCAAGGTAGTCTGACTTTTCTGAGCTTTAATTGAAGAAGCAGGGCTGTTTTTGGACTGTTAACAAATCTTTCTTTGGAATGTGTGTATGGCAGCTGATCACTTTTTTTTTTTTTGTAAGTGTTTATTTAACAGTCTGTATTAAGAAATGCCTCTAGATGGGCARTGCCTTTGACTCTGCAGTTTTATAGTGATTTGTAGGCTATTCCAAGATAGAATCGTATAAGCCTTATCTATTCTCCTATAGTGCAAATAAAAGTTAAGGGCAGTATTTTGAGCAATGCTATTTGAGAGCAAACAGTAGAAGTCTTTTTTGTAGTATGTAGTTTTTGTCTAAAAGCAGAAGCTAAAGCAAAAAAGCAAAACAAAATTATGCTTTTCTCTATAATTTAGGCCTTTTAATATGATAGCTGATATAATGGCTGATTTAGAAAGTGTTCTGATGTTATAGATGGCTTTAGCTGAAATGATGTAGGGAAAAACTATTTAACCTTAAACTAAACTTTTTTTAATATGTTCTGTGATTCTTGGTAGAGCTGAAAAAAAAATCATGAACGCTGCCAGCAAGCTTGCTACAATGGCTAAAGTCCTTGAAACGCCTGTTCGACACATACCCCAAAGCAAAACTACCCGCTCAGGTATGTTCTTGTTCTCTTCTAAAGGCTTCATGCATATAGTACTGAAAATACAGATGGGCAGTGAAATAATATCCTTTTAAATTTTTTTTCTAAGCCTTTGAGCTGAAAGGTAGACATAAGCTGCTTATTTTAATGATGGTAATTTTGACAGTTCTTTATTAAAAAAAAAAATTTCTTTTTCCTTTTTTTTTTTTTCTTCAACATTAATATCTCCTTCAATTAATCAATTTCTTTCCCTTCTCTCTCAGCTCTACTATTAAATTCTGATCTGCCAACTGGAGTTGACCACTCAAACAGAGATTTGACACTTCAAACTGGGCCAAACCTTATGGAAAGCAAATCATGTGCTGAAAATATTACCCAAAAAGCTAATGATAAAGTTGTACGGAAATGTGTGCCGCATGACTTGAGACAGCACTTTGATACAAGACAGACTGAAACACAGTATGTGCTTCATAAAGGAGGGTCTTTAAGTATCCAGAATGGGAATAATTGTAAGAGCTTACATGACGCCTCAAGAGATGCCCTATCAGAGCTTTATCCAAATGAAGGTGGAAAAAGAGAAAAAWTTGGCCCCGTCCTAAATGCAGACAGAAGATTGTTGTGTGCAGCTAGTGAGAGAGCACATCAAAATACCCCTTCATCTGCTTCTCAGGTGAAGTTGGGAACTGTGCATGCAACCAGCTGCGTGAATGGTCTTGCTGTATCTGGGCCAATTCACTGCATTCTAGAGAGCCAGAACGAAAGAACAGTCTTGAAAGATGATAAATRTAACCAGCCATTTGGAAACCTCAAGACCCCAACTGAAATATCCCAGGATTTTGATGTTCAAGAAACTCCAGAAAGAGATGAAGGAAGCTGCAGTGAATGGAGTTCTGTGAATGGAAGTCTGCACCTGGATAGTGCCAATATGTCTCTATTGTTCTCTGAACAAAAACCTGTTGCTAATGACCAAGCACAGGTAGCTTCCTGTGAAGAGTTTGCTCATATCAAGTCACTTCCCTCTGCAGATGAAAATGTTGGAGGTGCTTCTTGGAGAGAACTTACTAATGACAAGATTCTTGGCGCACAAGACAGCGCAAAAGTTTACTGTAAAGACCATCTGAAAGCAAATGTCGAGCATACTTCATTCCCAAACTTTGACAAATCAAAACCTGCTGTTGCACAACTGAGTGCATCACCAAATTCAAATGCTGGAAAATGCTACAACCAGTACTTGAAAAAAATGATGCGGGATCCCCAATCTTTTCAGGAAGATAGTGGTTTTGATAGCCCCCTWTCTAACTTAAACTGACAACAGAATTCCTCACTTTGGGAATGGGTGGGTGTGGAGTGAAATCATATATTTAAATAAAAGCTTGAGGATGGGGAAAATCTGGTTAATGTTACACATTTTCAGGTTGTTACCTAAAGAAATGCTGTCAAGTTAATATTAATGCAGACTTTTGTTTACCTTTGTCTTGACTTTTGTAGCTGTTTGTGTATTATATGTCTATTAAATAGAATCTATTTTTATAWTTTGTTTAGCTTGCAGTGCAATGTTTATTTATATAAAACAAAGCTACTGTCATTTGTGATAATCTTTTTAAAGTGGTTATGAAAACTCCAAAGCTCAGCACATGCAAGATGTTTTAGAGTTTGTATGAAATAACCGTTTCAATTGACTTTTCCATTTTGAAAGAMCCCCTGCCTTTTAAGTCTCTGTGCATGCCTATAATAAAAGCACAAATAGTTGTGTATTTTTATTAAACTATTATAATCAAACTTCATRTATGTTTTCCCTTGGGTACAGCAAAGAAAAACACTTTATTGTGAAAGAAGATTTAATKTAGGACAACCATGTTTTACAGATGTTCCTTAAATAGCACAAACTATCACTTTGAACTAAAGATGCAGTCATTTCTCTTGGTATTTATTGCGCTTCCTTTTAAAGGCCTGTATTCTGTAGGGACTGAAAGGCACAGGTTGGACTTTTGTCTGGATCTGGGTCAGGCGGGAGGAGATGTAAGTGTGTGGTGCATGTGTGTGCCCGTTGTTTGATTATTGGTTTTGTGCTTCCTCCTTCTCCACTTGCTCTAGACGTTGCATTTCATTTCTAGGGCTACTTTTGTGAAGACAGGAGTTTTGCTGATGGGTTTATTGGTCCTTAACTTTTGTTTATGCAGTGTGATTAATTAATACCTACTGCCTCTACTAATGTAGCTAGGGCCCAGCCATTCATATGAACAGTAATACAGAATATGTAAACACAGATTTTTTGCCTCTTGTTTTGTAATGCTGGAACAACCTCTCTGTGCCCCCAGCTGCCCCTCCTGAGTATGTGTGTGTGTGTGTTTTATGGTAGCCAAGGGTTGTGTTACGTAAGGATGCTCATTTGGCCTTTCTGATTTGAACAGCGGAGCCTGATCTAGAATCTTGCTTTCAGTTTTTACAGGGGAATATCAAGAAAAATATTTTAACTTTTTTTTTTTTTTTTTTTTTAAGCCTTGTTTGTTTTGACTTTCAGGCCAACTGCTGGCAAAGTAGAAGGAGTTATCTAGTTAGCAAGACTGATTTGGGCCTTGAAACTTTGTTGGAAGATCTAATGAGAAGAATCAGAATTTCTTGGTGGCCGTTAGTGTTGCCCATAAATCCAATCCCGCTTCCTCTTTAGGGAAGGTGGGGTTTGTCATCCTCRGCGGGAGCAGGAGCAGGCCACAAGAGACCTCGTGTGCCTAAACAAACATGAACAGTGGTTAAGTTCAAGGGCCAAATTCCAAGCTCTTAGCTAAGGAAATAACTGTGGCCTTGTCTGTAGGGGAAAGTTTTTACTAGTTATCCCACTCAACCCTGCATGGATTTATTTATTTTTTTTTTTCTCCTCACCAGTCTAACAGTGGCTTTTTGGGTTAGCCTGAATGTTTTGCCAAATTGCAGAAGCTTAAAAAGAAGTGTGTTTATTCCAGTACAAAAGGTACTTGCATGGTTTCTTAAACCAGTATATCACTTTTATTTGTTCCTTGGCATAATCCAGAAATCTTCCCGAGATGGACAAAGCCCATGTCCATAACAGTGAATACGCAACTGTTCTGTAGGCCATGACAGAGTCTTCAGCCAGAGCAGCCAAGAACCCATCCTGGGCGCAGCAGTAGTGAGATTTTTGCCCGGTGCCCTCATGCAGCATATTTTACTCTTCCAAAAAACATGCTTGTCTTTTCCATGKTATCAGTCACCTGAGATGGGGTTGATATTTCACCTGTAGCTGGTCCCTAAACTGCAAATTTTAGTGCGGATGTGCAAACTGCTTTAAAAATCCTTTCAAAAGCTGTTACAGTGCAGTGTGTTTTTTTTTTTCTCTTGTTCAGTGTTTTTTTCTTTTTTTATATGTAACATCATAGTTTTTAGCTTTTAGAAAACCTACTATGCTTAAAAGCTCAGTGGCTTCAGTTTAGAATAAAATACTTAATGATGCTAATCATGATAAATCTTTAGATAGCTGCTACTTTTTGGATGCTCTATAAGCTGAGGTCCTCCAATGAAGAAAATGGATCTTGTGCATTTCTGCATATACTGGAGAAAGCGAAGACTGCAGATCATAGCACTGGGCAGGTAACAAAAGCAAGGTTTGGTTTTGTGTGGATTTTTTCTTTTATGTGGCAAGATGATGTCATAGAGACAGGCAAAAGAATAAGGGCAAAAAAACTTCCCAATTATGACTAGTAGAAGTAGGAATATTTAAATCTAGGTATTGTATTAGATAGGTATTAGAGTTGCCATTTCAGTGTATACCATATTATAGTATTGGACTGTATTATTGACCAAAGCTGTAAAGCATGTGCAAATGTGTGTCTGAGTAAAGATTCAGTTAAATCCTTGCTTACCTAAATCTAATTGTATCTTATTACTCTGACATCTCTGTAGTGCTCTGGAGCTGCTGAGGGGATTGTTTTCTTCTTAATGAGAATCAACTGTTAAGGCCTGCAGAGATCCACACCCAAACAGCAGCAGGCGTTCCCTGGTGAGTAGAGTTTTGAGGGACAAGGAAACACTTAGCACAAGAATCAACAGCTCCTAGTAAAAARCATTCCTCAGCTCTTGTTCTTGTAACCTCAGCAGGAAAGTATGAAGCAACAGCAGGCAAACGTAGGGATGGCAGCTCCCAAAACTGGCCAGCTGACACCAGTAGGGATGGGGGCTGTGCTGTTGCAACATGTGAGGCTGGACTAGTTTAGTTGAGCCAATGTTGTAACAGCCACTAAGTGAATATCTTAAAGCAAGTTTGCCATATGTTTTCACTTGCTGGGTTATATTGCTAGAGAGTTACCTGTCTTGTTCAAGAATTCATTGCCTACTGTTAGATTTTCTTTATTTAAATGGTTGCTTGCTTTAATATCCCAGCTATGCTAAAAGACACCTAGTTCTAGAGATGGTGCAGTTTAGTACATTTTAGTTTAAGCTTTGTTTAACTATCCTCCCCTCTCCTGAGGAGAGAGGCGGGGGGGAAAAAAATAGTAGCAAAATGTGATGATATTTTTCTTTCCTCTGGTCAAGATTTCTGTGCTCAGCTGGTTCATCTTGCAAATGCAGAGTGTGTGCACACTCTTGCTTGGAACAACCTCTTTCAGCCAACATTATCTCTCCATTTGATAYTAAAATACCAACACAAAAGTTGCATTGTCAAGCTGCCAGAAACTTGGTAAATTAAGGAGGTAACTTATTACATGTTATTACTTTAATGTAAAATTTGTTTATCCAGAACTTTTAGGTAGTTAAATGTGTGTAAGTTTCTTGTATGTGGTGTGTGCCCTTAGCTGATGCATGTTTTGAGATAAATTATTCTTGGTGTCTATCCTTTAGTTTATGTATTTTCAGGGTCCTCCTCTTTCAGCTTGAATGAAATAGTGACACTTCTGTTGTATTACAGCAACATCTGTAGCTATTAATGGAGAAGCTTCAGAATAGATGCAGGATAAACAAGACTTAAATACCCACCTCCTTAATTTTCAGTAGGCATGCCTTTTTTTCCAAACCACAGTTTCCTGTGGTAGGAGAGAAGGCTTTAGGCTTTCAATATTAATACTTCTGCAGCACCCTTTCCTTTCCACGTGTTGTAATTAAGAAACTGAGCTTACTGTTCTGTGCAATATAGAAGAAAACTAAGCAAAAGGGTTAAAAGTCACTGTGCTGTTTGCTCACGTAATGCCAGAGAGCCTCACTGTCCTGACATGTGTTAATGCTTGAGATCTTTGAGGAGGGAAGTGCACACRACTGGTTATATGAGTAGGAACTCATATAGGCCTGGAAAGGTTAAGTAGCTTATTCAGGAAGTTAGGAAGCCTGAACAGGGAATTAAAACCAGGCCTTTTAAATCCTTGGCTAATGCTTTAACTACAACRCTACCTTTTCTTTATGCTTGATTGGTTTACTGTCCTTTTTTTTCTTTCTGATGGGTCATCTGTTCTAGTCAGGTCTATCACTTTGTGAGGGTTTTCTATTATTTATTTATTTTATTATTTCCATTGCCTTTATACTGGCCCATTTTCTTTTCATTGGCTTTGCACTTTTGCACTTTTTTTTTTTTTTTTTTTTTTTTTTTTTTTACTATTTTCAATCTTGGCTTCTCTTTCTTCCGACTTTGCACAGAGTCGTCTTCTTTCCTTGAACATCATTTGCTTTTAAGATTTATTGACTGTTTCTACCAGCACCGTTTAGCAGCCCCTTCTCTGGAAGGGGGGTGGTATGTGTATTGGAGTTAGAGGAGTGAATTAAGCCCTTGGAAGTTCTTCTTCAGAATGACACAGGCATCCTTTCTGCTCTTATCTGGCTCATGATTTCTTGGTGACCTTACCTGTGACTGTGAAAATCTTTCAAAATTGCTGCTTTCAAATCTAAGTTCCCTAAGTGTAATCTGTGGATGTGCAGCTATGGCTTATGTTCTTTGGCTTTCCTGAACACCGTTAGAATTTAATATCTTGCTCCCTCCTCCCTGCTGGGCTATCTCTTGTTATACTTTTGAGTTGGTACTTTCAACTGAAGCTTGAAGATCCACTTACTGCCATATAGTGCTCTCTTTCTCCTAAGCTCTCAAGCTGGGTATTCTTCCCAGAAGTATCGTGATACACAGCCTCATATATATATTTCAGTCATTCATCCTTAAAACTTGCTGTCAAAGMCATTCTTTTGCCGTTGGAGCTCTGTTCTCATGTTTCCCTTTGTTCTGTGGGAGCTGGTAAGACTTTATATTGAAATTTATTTTAGACGTTTGCTCTTTTGTGCAGATTCACTGCGCGGCCTTGTTTCCCACAGCGCYGATGGGTGACAATGGAGACGAAGGCGACCTGGCAGGGATACAGGAGCACATTACTTGCAGCTGGAGGGAGATTTCTCTCAGGGCTCCGATGCAGAGTACTTCACACTTCCAAATGAACCTCACTTCCAAATGCTTCTCTGTTCTTGGTGCCTGGGCAGATACTTCCCTGTAGTGTAGTCCTGGGCACTGATCTATGTGAGAAGCATAGTTCTTGTTCACTGCTTTTCGGTATGTGCCTACCTAGGAAGGAAGACTTTCTCAAAGCCCAATCCCGTTTTAACACTTGTGAAAACAAGTCGGCTTCCATCATGTAATGATGCTTCTTTGTAAATTTGAATACAAGTAAAGAAATGCATTTCCCTTGCCAAATGTTCTGGCTGAACGCCCTACGTGGTGTTCTGGCTTCATCCGGATGACAAATGTTCCCTGTCAG